CTTATTTGGGGTTCCAGAATCCATTTTGTGGTCTATGTTCCAGGCCAGTTTGCCTCAATCTTGCTTTTCTCTGGGAAAGATGTAGGAGGAAGCACAGTAGTTAAATGGGGACATTTACATTCTAGGGTGAAAAGTATCTTAAGGAATGGGCTTACTACCTGCAGGAAGGAGACCAATTGAACTAGCGGGCATTGTTTATTTATTATTTTTTGTCTTAGAAGATTTAACCATGTCATAGGAAAGTTGATATAGGGACCCTACAAGGCACAACTGCCAGCTAGAAATGACAAATGTACAGTTTTCCTCCCATTTTTTCCCCCAGTAAAGATGTCTTAGCTAAGAGCCCAACCAGGTGACTTTGATTCCCTGTCTCGTAGCTGACAGCAAACCTCACACTAGTACATTAGGAATTGTTGTGGCTTTTGACATTAAAAAGCAAATTACTAGACGACCAGACCATTACATTAAAAGGTTATCAGCTCAGTTCACAAAATGAACAGTTGTATTTCCTGAGCCACATTGGACAAATGTTCTCAATTGATGTTCTTTAATTCTGTATGCCCGGGAAGAGATTTTAAATTGATAATCAAAGGGAATTAAAGTAGGGAATTAGTCATGGAAACAATGGGAACATTTCATAAACTAAGTCTACTCTAGGTCTGAAAATTGGAAACAATTAATAACCATAGGCTTAAAGGCATTTCCTTTTTAATTTTCTTCTTTTTGTTACATAAAATTTAATTTACTCCCTCTGTGCCTCAGTCCAGCTATTATTAGAAAATTGCCCTTAAACTTCTAAAGTATTATATGTAAAAGCTCTCTGCAAGCACTAATACAAAACCTCAACAAAGAGAATAGGAAAGCTAAATGCTCTGAAATTGAAGTCATTCTGCCATTGAGCAGGGAAATAATTTAGGAAAACCAGATTAAATCTCTCTCAATAAAATGGCAATTCATATGGTTTCCCATTTTCTGATAGCTAACTGTATAGTAAAATCCATTAAAGTGATGCCATAGTACAATATTATATTTTAAGGATTATTCTGAGCTTCCCTTAAGTTTTTTTTTTCCCTTGTTGCATGAAATTAAATTTATTGCCTGAGATTTTATTAAAATAACTCTTAGTGTCCTTCCCTGTCGATCTTCCTTGAGAAGAACTTCATTTTGCTTTCTAAGACTATGGCCATCTGCAGTTATAATGTCTCATATAGATGGTGTCAAGGGCATTTTTAGCTTAATTAGCTGATTGTGATACCAGACTATTATTCCTCTTTCTTTAATTTACATTTTTCACATTTGCATTTTTCACCTTATATTACCGTCCATTAACTTGATCTCATTCAAAGTTGCCCCTTCCATACAGCAGTCACTTTTGATTAATTTTGCTTTTGCCGTATTTTTCCCAAATGTATCCCGAGTAGAGTGAAACTGAGTCTTGTCTTTTCCTACCACCACCACGCATGTGTGTTAGAGTTGAGCAAGTGAGCGTGGGAGCTTGGATTTGGCTCTCAAGCTTGGACAGGCAAACACATGAGCTGCATGTTGACCGCCAGTGTCATGCAGGTTCAAAAATCAGTAGCTCTAGAAGCAACTTCTCGTTTAAAATGAATTTTCTTGCTGTGTAACTAGCTTCCTTTCTGCTTTTAGGTAATCACAGACCTGGAGGAACAGCTAAACCAGCTGACTGAGGACAACGCTGAACTCAACAACCAAAACTTCTACCTGTCCAAACAACTCGACGAGGCTTCCGGTGCCAACGATGAGATAGTGCAACTGCGAAGTGAAGTAGACCACCTCCGCCGTGAGATCACAGAGAGGGAGATGCAGCTCACCAGCCAGAAGCAAGTAAGGAGGAGTAAACAAGGTCACGAAGTCCTGGGGGGACTTTGAGAAGGACATTAGGTGTGCCTGGTGCTTTCTCCTGAGGGTTCCAAGACCAAGCCTCATCCACTAAACGGGCCCTTTTTAAATCATCTCTTGTTTCTAAGGCTTTGGGGTTTCAAAAATGGCGTTTAAAAGTGTGTAGTTCTTACTAATTTTGATTTTTTTTTTTTTTTGAGACAGAGTCTCGCTGTTGCCCTGGCTAGAGTGCAGTGGTGTCATCATAGCTCACTGCAACCTCAAACTCCTGGGCTCAAGCAATCCTCCTACCTCAGCCTCCTGAGTAGCTGGGACTGACAGGTGTACACCATCATGCCCGACTAATTTTTTCTATTTCTAGCAGAGACAGAGTCTTGCTCTTGCTCAGGCTAATCTCAAACTCCTGACCTCAAGCACTCGTCTTGCTTTGGCTTCTCAGAGTGCTAGGATTATAGTCATGAGCCACCGCACCCATATTAATTTTGATTTAAAAAATAAAATCAAATGTTTTGGGAGGCCTGTGTGGGCTTGATTTTTAACCTTTGTCACCTCCTCCCAGCCTTGCTCTGGGTTTCTGCCTCTTAGATGGTGGCAGAAATGTCCCTCATCCGTTCTTGCCTGGTGCTCCCAGGCTGTAGAAGAAAAAGATAAACCATATTTCAAACTGTAGATAGAAACTTGTGCTTTTCTGAAACTGACCTGACAAAAGTAACCTCCAGGAAATCCTCATTTAATACAAGGCACAACTCAGTGGTACTGATTTGCAGACGATGGAGGCTCTTAAGACCACTTGCACGATGCTGGAAGAACAGGTCATGGATTTGGAAGCCCTGAACGATGAGCTGCTGGAAAAAGAGCGGCAGTGGGAGGCCTGGAGGAGCGTCCTTGGTGACGAGAAGTCCCAGTTCGAGTGTCGGGTTCGGGAGTTGCAGAGGATGCTGGACACTGAGAAGCAGAGCAGGTGAGCCTTTCTGTTTGCGGAAAGCCCGTGACAGGTGACTGCAGCAGGATCTGCTTGAGATGTGAACAGGGTGACCAGATGTTCCAGCTGAGACTGAGAAGTCTCCTGGGACACAAGCCTTTCAGTGCTAAAAGCAAGAGGCTCTTGGGCAAACCAGGATGGGGTGGTCACCCTGCTTGGAAATATGGATAGTGTGAGTTGGATTCTGTGGCAGGGACTGGTGTCTGTTTACCCTGTGCAGAGGCCTGGGAGGCAGGGTAAGTATCTCGGTGCTTTCTTTGCCAAAACACTCTTACCGGGTTTCTTAGTGTGACCATGTGGCAAGACCATCACCATTTTAATCCTGGTCACGTGGCTCCCCTCTACACCAAGGTTCCTCCGCTGTGGCACTATTGATGTTTTGGGCCAGGCAGTTCTTTATTGCTGGGGGCTGTCCTGTGCATTGCAGGATACTGAGCCGCATCCCCAGTCTCGACCCACTAGATTCCACTAGCAAACCCCTCCCCAAGTTGTGACACCCAAAAATGCCTCCAGACATTGGTGGGGGAGGAATTGCCCTCAGTTGACAGCCACTGCTCTGCAAGAATAGTTGAGTGTTTTTTTTTTTTTTTT